TTAGTTTTTGATTTCATTACCATTTAATACTCCATGCATATATCATAAATTTGATATGATGGATAATCTTCTTTTTGCATAACGTTAAAGTTAGAAATTTGATGAACTAAACATGGCTCCGGATGTTTGTTCTCGTCGGGGTCATCACCGTGCGTCTGTGGCCAATAAATAAAAGCGTAGTCGTACGACTCCTGCTCGTGGACTGGACCACGACGAGAACGTCCAGGTGCGGCACCCGCAGCCGCAGGGCCAACAAGGCTACGCGTCCCATTCCTGCAGCGTCAGATTGTTCGTTGGCTGACATCGCGGCCGTCCAAAATGCCTCCGCGCCCGTGGACCGTGGTCACAGCACAGATAGTGAAGGGAACGGTGGTACGTGCTCTGGTCAATGGGTGCAGAGGCTCGTTCGTAGCTCCGCCGGCCTATGGAGCGTGCCTAGCAAGCCTACTGCACCCTCGGCTGACTGCCATGAATGGGCGGAGCGGGGGCGCGGAGGAGGAGTACTTTTTCAGAAGCAATCCCAGGCGCATCCGCAGTCGCAGCCGCAGCCTTAGGCAGCCCACTACCCGTCACCTCACTGCTCTCCCCTGCTCCAGTTTTTGATGCGCTGCACGCCAAAACGAGAGAGAGATGCAATGCTGATGCTGTGGTGGAGAGGCAAGCGGGGGCAGTGACGCAGTGGCATTTTACTGCTCCTGTGCCTGCGGTGCTCTCACCAGCCACAGGCCCATGCCCATATATCCTCCTCCGCTCCTCCTTCCTCTCCCTCTCCCCTCCAGCATTGCAGTGGACGGGGAAGGGAAGTGAAGAGAAGGGAAGGGAAGGGAAGGGAAGGGCAACGGGGCAGCTGATCAGGTGGGACGACGTCTCTTCTTTTCTTGACTGTTTTCTTGCTCGCAAGTTGTCTGGCGATGAGAGATTCCTCCTCACCCGGCTTTATCTCCCCCGTTGCCGTTCGCCTTGTCCTCTTGCGCTGCCTTCTTCTCGTGCTGGTCCAGGAGTTTCCGGCGCTTATTGGCTCGTGCTGGCACTGATTTTTGGCGTCTCGTGGGGGGTGGTCTAGATTTCGCTTCGCTTCGCCTCTCGGTGCCCCCTGATTATTGTGGAGGAGGGAACGGGGCCGGACGGATCTCTGCTCCGCTCGCGTGCTCTCCAGGGGCTGACGCACGCGCACGAGAATGCTGCTCAGGAGGGTGGCGGCGGACGACGGCTCCTGCGCCGGCGTGGGCGTAGGGAGGCCGCGGCTCTTCGCCGTGCCCAGGCTGCTGGTCGGTCTCGGCGGGGCGCTCAGGTGCGGCGCCGCGCCGGACTGCGACTCGCCGACGGCGGCGCGCAGCCCGACGTCGCCGCTCGACCTCAGGGCGCCCTTCGCCGCGCTCGGCAGCTCGCTGCTCCGCTCGCCGCGCTCGCCCAGGACCAGGAGCTGGGACTCGCACCGCCTCGGCCTCGGCGGCCTCGTCGACGACGACGCCCTCGCCGAACCCGCCGCGGGCGCCAGCAGGAGCCGCCTGCTCGGCCTCGGGCCCGCCCAGGCGCGGCAGCCGTTCAAGCTGCCGCAACGCCTCGCCAAGCCCCTCACCACCCAGCCGAGAGACTGCGCCCACGCGTCCCCGGAGCTCGGGCATGTGGGGACCGCCGCCGCCGCCGTCCCCAGCCGCAAGCCGGTGCCGTGCAGCAGGTCCTACGGGGATGTGAAGTCTGGTCCAGAGGTCACCGTGACCGGCGCGAGCAGCCACCCTGCCGATCTTGGCAAGTTCCCCGCGCCGGGCTCCCTGCCGGCGTCCATCGGCGGCCCGCGCCGGTACGTCGGGTCCGTGTCCGCGACGGAGGTGGAGCAGTCGGAGGACTACACCTGCATCATCGCGCACGGTCCGAACCCGAAGACCACTCGCATCTTTGGGGACTGCATCTTGGAGCCCTGCACTCTTGGTGACGGCGTGGACGCCATGGAAGTCAAGGAAGGAGCAGAATCCTACTGGCTGGTCAAGTGCTTCGATGACGGCGAGCCTGGCGAGGAGTTCTTGAGCTCCTGCGTCTCTTGCAAGAAGAAGCTGGATGGCAATGACTCCTGCATTTACCGGTATGTTGATGCGAGCTCGACAACCTTTTGTTATGACGACAGTGAATCCAAACTAATGATTGTTATTCACCTGTGATGTGTTTTCTCTTTGGAATTTTTATATGTTTTTCATCTGAATGTGCTATTTGTCATATATTTTGCATCTGAATGTGTTATTGATTGGTAGACAAGCATCCTGAACTGGATAGACTGATTGAAGAATCTGATGACTTACGATCAGTTTTGCATTGCATTTCTCAACACAAAGAATTCAGTGTATATAAAACGGGTAGCATTTGCATAGCAGCATGTTCATCTGTTATGCTCCATAATCATAGAAAGAACCAAGAACACTGAACAATTTGCTGAATGTCCTTTGCAGTGGTGAGAAGGCATTCTGCAGTAGGAACTGCAGGGATCAGGAAGTCCTTACTGAAGAGGAAGAGAACATCACAGCCGTGGCCTCCCTCAGCTCGGCTGGCTCATCATCTTCCTTCAACGATGACATATTCATGGCTGAGATGGTTGTGCTGGCTGCACCAGTTGACGTCCACTACCCCTGAATCGGGCGCTATGCTCCGCGAGCCAGGGTAGCTGATCAATAATGTCAATTGTCGCGGTTTTCACCACCGCCATCATCGGTTTGCTGGTTTTGTAAGTTTCCAGCATTTGGACATTCGGTGGCATTGGTCATTATTTTATTAGAACTGAGGCTCCATCTAGAATTTGCCGAGATGTGATCTGTCGGCCTTTAGATCGGAGAGCTTGCCTGCCGTTAGCATTGTAATTTTGGCCCTGAGGCTATTGGCAATGCAAGTTCCCCAATTTTCATTCTATTTCTTCTTTGGTTTCTTCCGGAGCAGCAATGACGATGTTTGCGTGCTGTAAGTTGCAACAACATTTTCTTGATAATGGCATTGAGCTGCTTTGCGAAATCTGCCGTTTCTGCTGTCGAGGAGTGGTGATTACTAGAGACAGGCATGATGACAGGTTAAAGAAAGACTGCTTCTTGTTTCTAATCCAAAGAGAAATCCTGCTGAGGCCCCGTTTAGATTTTTTTTTTTGTTTTGGCTACTGTAGCACTTTTGTTTGTATTTGTCAATTAGTATCTAATTATAGTTTAATTAGGTTTAAAAGTTTTGTCCCACGATTTCTCATCCACCTGTGCAGTTTAGTTTTTTTTTTCATCTACATTTAGTACTTCGTACATATGCCGTAAGATTCGATGTGATAGATATTACTCAAAATTTTTTACTCAAAATTTTTAGAATCTAAACAGGGCCTATTGCGTGATTCTAGGTGTTACACTCAGATTCCGTGTAAATTTTGCAATGATCTGACGCTGAGCAATGATGGAGGGCAGGAGCAGACACAGGTACGATCAATGGTTTATTGCTCTTGAGAATCTTATTTGTCTGTTTGCTACAGGTTGCACTGTTCGTGAGGTTGGATCGTTTGGGGCCTAGATTGCAAAATTTTACAAATTGGACACTATAGCATGTTTCGTTTGTATTTGATAAACTTTGTCTGATCATGGACTAACTAGGCTCAAAAGATCCGTCTCATGATTTACAACCAAATTGTGTAATTAGTTATTTTTTTACTTATATTTAATGTTCTATACATGCGTCCAAAAATTGATGTGATGAAGAGAGAGTGAAAAAACTTTGAAATTTGGAGGCAATCTAAAGGCCTGGATTCATAGGAGTATGTTCCTGGAGACATGTGATCCACAAGAATTTGGTGGCGACTCTGTAGAGCATAATTTGTGTTTCATTTGGGGACAATCACATCACTGATCTGTATAATTCAAATCATTTCGGAGAATGAAGTCGGGTCATAAAATAGACATTAGTTCCAGAAAAGAATACAATTCTAGCCATTCTAGCACAACACCAAACTTAGGCCATGTTTAGTTACCCAAAATTCCAGAATTTGGCACTATGCAAAAAGAAGATTCTCTATCACATCAAATTTGCGGTATATGCATGGAGTACTATATGTTGAAGAAATCAAAAACTAATTGCACAGTTTAGTTGTACTTTAAGAGACGAACGTTTTGAGCCTAATTAGTCAACGATTAAACAATTATTACTAAATAAAAATAAAACGCTACAGTAGCTACAGTGCGCACCGAATCCGGCGGCGCCGTTTCGGTGGCCGAACTAAACGCGGCGTTAAAGGGACTGTCAGCCTCCCAGGCAACATCTGGCCAAGCGAGTGATCCTGGCCCAAATCCAACGCCTGGGAGCCTCGCTAGGGCCAGGCACCTTCACCATGCCACTATCCAAACAGCCCCAAAAGGTCTTAAGTTCGACTAATTTTATTGAAAAAGCATCAATATTCATGATATAAAATAGGAATCATTAGATTTGTCGTAACATATATTTTATAAAATACATATTTGATGTTATAATTACTAATATTTTAAATCGAGAATGCACCTTATTCTTTTCTGAACAGAGGTGGCAGTTTACAAATAAGTTGGAGTGTGGCAGATTACAAACAAGTTGGAGTGTCTTTCACACGAGTAGTATTTTTAGAGGAATTTTCGTAGCATTTAGCAAAAATTATCATGTTCAGAATGGTCCCGGTAGCGTTGTGCCCATCCATGGGCCAGACCTATTATGACGAACCTTTTCTAAAGCCCACATGGCCTGTGAAGAGCCCACGTAACCATAACCCGACAGTCTGACACAGTTCCGAAACCTTCTCCTCCGGCTCCGCTTCCGCTTCAGCTTGCGCGTTGCCACTCCCCTCCCCGCTGCTCCCAAGCCGGCAAGCCCCAAACCCCAGCTCAGAAGGCAGAACGGGTTGCCATTTCCGTTGCTACGAATGCTCACGTGATACCACACCGCTCCAGCTTGCAAAGCAGCGGCCGGCGAGGGGTGGGTGGTAGGGGTTTTTTTTGGGTGTCTGCGACTGCGACTGCGACGCCGGCATGGGCTACCACCACCTCCTCGTCTCGCCGCCGGTGGTGCAGCCGCCCCGCCCCGCCCTTCTCCCTCCACCCCGCGGCCGCCGCGGCGGCAGCGGCGCCGTGCGGGTGGCCACCGCGGTCTTTGCCTCGTCGTCCAGCGCCGCTCGCTCCCCCGTTGCGGACGACGCCACGCGGAAGAGGGCCGTGCTCCTCGTCGGCGTCTCGGTGCTCCCGCTCCTCCGCCTCCGCGATGCCGCGGCAGCGGCGGCCAGGGCGCAGCGCTCGTCGGTTGATCTCGTCACCGGTCAGTAGTAGTAAACCTCATTTCAACTCACCTTGACGCCTGGTTACTAGGATGATATGTGTGATTTTTTTTTGTTTTATTAAAAACTCTGATAAAATCTGTGAGATTAGTAGATACTAATAAGATACCTTTCCCCCTTCTAAATGAACTTGCTGAATGGGCTGTGTAATTGTGATGCTAAGTTTCCCACGCGTAAATTGTAGACTCTCTTAGTAGTAATAAACCTCATTTCGACACCCCCTCGTTGCTGATGATATGTGTAGGGGTGCCTGTGGTGTTCTAGCATAGCATGTCACAAGCCCTGATAAAGGAGAAGGGTTGTGTTAGGCTTGGCGAGCCAATGTAAAAACTTAGCCACTGTTATGGAGATGAAACCCAAAAGAATCCCGTTGTGGCGTAACCCTCTTAGCGACGCGCCATGCCGGAACCCGGGTATGGTGTTAAATGAGCAAGGGCTGGGCCGTCACCCCTGTGACGCGCCGTGTCGTGATCTGGGCACGGTGTCAAGTGAGCAAGGATCGGGTCATCGCATCCTCAGTGTCGCGCCACATCGGCGCCCGGGTGTGGTGGAAAATGAGCAAGGGTCTTCACGCCTGACTCGGCGGATGCGAAGGGTAAGGAAGCTAGTCGAGCCAATTAGGATCCGTTTAGGTAGCTGGAATGTAGGGTCCCTTACGGGTAAGTTAAGAGAGTTAGTTGACACAGCGGTTAGGAGGCGTGTAAATATCTTGTGCGTCCAAGAATGGACCGAGTTAGGAACGATGATATACGTGACCGTCTAGGGGTAGCACCAATTGAAGAAAAACTTGTCCAATATCGGTTGAGGTGGTTTGGCTATGTCCAAAGAAGACCTTCAGAGGCACCAGTGCATCGTGGAGTCTTAAGCCAAGCTAATAATGTGAGGAGAGGTAGAGGTAGACCGAAATTGACATGGGGGGAGGCAATAAAAAGATATTTGAAAGTTTGGAATACACCGATATATGTTTGAATAAGAGTACTTGGAAAACAGCTATTGATGTGCCTGAACTGTGACTAGGGGCTCTTGGTGGGTTTCAACTCTAGCCTACCCCAACTTGCTTGGGACTGACAGACTTTGTTGTTGTATTAAATCTGATAAAAATCTGTGAGATTCGTAGATACCAAAGTTCAAAAAAGCGCTAAGCGCTAAGCGAGCGGTGACCCGCCGCTTAGAGCTTAAGCGGGCTTAAGCGTACAAAGCGTCGCTTAAGCATTTTGTACTGTAGCAAATCAGATTCATGTAATAAGCTGTGAACTTGAGAAGTATAAATAAAAACATGCCTTATTTGATCTTATTCCTAGACTTGTAGAGCTGAGCAATTGTTGGACTTGTACAGGTACAACTCAGCAATTGTTGGTTTCATGTTGTAATGTTCCTAACAGTCACAGATATGAGAAACATCAAATGTTGATTAGGTTCATAAAACAAAAAATATACCTCATGATTAAATATTTATAAACAAATAAGGCGAATAGTAATGGCAAGAACACTACTACTTAGTTCATAAGAACATAACATTACATCTAAAGTTCATAAACCATAGTTTCAGGTCTTACTTAGTTCCAAATTAAAAGATACCCATATTCCCATCCTATATCATCTGACTTCCTCTTGAGAGACAAAGTTTCCTCTACTGCTGACTGGGGTTCTCCTACTGCTTGTGTCCCAGTAACCTCCATCCTATAATTACTTAATTAGTATTCTATTAATCTAGACAAGGACAAGAAGCAAAGGAATTAGGCATAGACTAACTAATCACTAATCTGTAGTGCTGCACAACACAACAAGAAATCTAAAAGCACAAAATAAAACAAGAAATCTGTATTCTACTAATCTGTACAACAAAAGCAGGGAAGGAATTAGGCATAAACTAATCTAGCAATCCAAGACTGCACATGCGCACACCTACATGGAACTGGAGCCTAGCAGTAGCAGTGTAGCACACATTAGGACTCAAAGGAGGGGGACGGAGGAGAAGGGAAAGGAGAACCAGAGTGGAGAACGGAGAAGCAGAGGAGAGAGGGGCAGACAGTGAAGAAGTCAAGCAGAGGCAGAGGAGCTCACCTTGCCGAGCGTGGGGAAGAGAATCGAGAGGACGACACCGGAGATGGGGGCGGCTCGAGCTCGACCTTGGGGAAGAGACGTCAGACTTGGGGAAGAGACCGACGAGCTTGACCTCCTCCAGCGGCGGCTCCAATCAGTGGTCGGCGGGCGTCGAGCGTCTGTCTGGCGTCGGCGGGCGTCCCGCGTCAGTCGGCGGGCGACGGTGGGAAGTCTCTTCTGCTTTTATCCCCTCCTCTCCCGCGCCCCGAATCGGGTTCAGCACGGTGCGCGCCCGATTGGAACTTCCGCACGGCGCGCGCATCCATCTCCCGCGCTGCTTTCCCACGCTGCCTTTCCCGCCCGGTCACTGGCTCGCTGAGCGGCCGCGGAGCAGGGCTTCCGCGGCGCCTTTCTCCGCCTCAGCGGCTTCCGCGTGCATCCGCGTCCGCTGAAGCGCCGGCGCCGCTTAGGGGCCGCTTATGGCCCGAAGCGAAGCGGCAGCCTCCTGCGTAGTGATTCAGCGCGCTTAAGCAGCCGCTTAATACCGCTTTTTGGAACTTTGGTAGATACTAATATGATACCTCCCCCCCTCCCCTCTAAATAAACTTGCTGAATGGCACGTGCAATTGCGATGCTAAGTTTCCCGCTTAAATTGTAGACTCTCTTTAGTAGTAGTAAACCTCATTTCGACACCCCCTTGTTGCTAGGATGGTATGCGTAATTTTTTTGGTTTTATTAAATCTGATAAATATGTGAGATTCGTAGATACTAATAAGTTCCCCTCTCTAAATAAACTGCTGAATGGCCTGTGCAATTGCGATGCTAATTTTTCCCGCGTAAATGGTACATGCCATTCTAATTTCTGGACCAATATAGACGTGTAGAAACCCAACAGATTGCATCAGTCTCCATAATCACTTTAAACCTACAATACTACATGCTGTTTGGTCGCTGGTTTAAATCCCTGTCAACTTCGTTAAGCTCAAAGTTTGCCATGAGGTCCTTCAACCCTGCTTGCTTGAGGACTGAGTGGACATTACACCCAACTGCCTTGAGCCATCCTTTTGAGTTTTGACACCAGTTAGTTCCTAACATCCAGTAGCTCATCTAGTAGGCATCATTCCCGACCTTATTGGAATCTACACCTAGTAAAACTGCCCTCTTCCTTCTCTTACTATTCCTTCATTGTTTGTTGAGATCCATGCAACACAGGACACCACTAAAAGTGTCCATACCTTAGGTCTTTATTATCTGGATCTGGACTGCCTTTTATCGTTTTGTGAACCTTCATTGTTTGGCAACTTTGGAACCCTTTTAATTCCCACACTGTTACCAACATAGTTATTATGAATAAGTTGTGTTTTCAGTTTTTCAAAAAGCTTGCATGGAGATAGATAAGGGTAAAACATAAAGTATGTGCATTGGAAAACATCGAATGACAAGGATTTTTGAACACATAAAGTGGTTGCATGTTACTGGTGCTGTATAAGCATATGTAGGGCAAATAAAGTGTTATACATTAACGCTACCAATTTATCTTGGATTGAACAATCAGATGTGTGTAGATCTCTTCTTTAGTGTTAAACTGTATTCTGGCTGTGATCCTTGTTAGGACCTTGACGTATTGATACTGGCTAATGGCTATGCATTTGGTGTTGGAAACTCATGTCCCCATCTGGTTCCACCTGATATGGCGAGGATGCATATTTGTATTTTCTAGCATATTTCTCTTTATCGTAGTAGTTGTAAAATACTTGTAATCACTCTTTGTTATATAGTAGATTAAGGTCAGAAGTGCATTTGTCCATGGAGGGCCTATGAACTTTCCAGAAAAACAAACTATACTATCTGTGCAAAAGAATAATATCTGAAACTGGACACAATCTCCATATTTGGTGTCGCAGGATTTGGTATTCCAGTGATGATGATGTTCTATTGATATATTGCTATGTCCAGGACAAACTATTTAGTTCAGCCATAGAAATATTCTATTAAATTTCTTGTGGAAAAAGTAATTTAATGAAGTTGAGTCTTGGCATGTTTTCTGGACCATGTATGAACTAGATAGAGCAGAGCACATGTCATAGCCATAACTTTGGGATGCCGTGAATCACGGTGCATAGAATTTTGCTTAAATGGATCACTCAGTGCTCTGATGCTTTTATGCGGCTAGTGCATGAGTAAAGATTGAGAAGTACAGCCTCATTAATATTTGCTTGGAACCAATAGTTGCACTATTGTATGTGCCGGTAGGGATGAAAACAGTTGGGAGAAGCCTTTAACCACTTTCAATTTCATATTTTTACCTGAAAACAGAATCAGAAACAGGAAGGCCAGCCAGGAAAGCATAAGCGGTATTTCGTGATATAGGAAACAGAGCAATTCGTTTGGAAACATGTCTATAGCAGTCAGGACCTGATAATTGAATTTGGAAAAACATAATGATACAATCTCCTCAAATGTTAAACTAAGCATGACTACACAATAATAGTTTGTATTCGCACAATATAATTTTAAATCGACACAGCATGTTGGTCTAGTTATCCTCACTGATGCTGGGGAAAAAGACCGCATCTTTCCATGAACGGCATGTACTATAAGAAAAACCGATAGTACCAGTTTAACAGGACAAAGAAGGAAAGGAGGTTTAATTGAAAAAATAAAGTATAATCAATGATCGATTAATGCCAATTTCTTTGGTGCGCCTGTCCATTTTATAGTGGGGCCAATGGCAGCTGTAGAGAGGCCCAACTGGCTCCCCTGTGTTCTCCAGTGCACGTTCATGTTCCCACAAGGAAGCCAGGGGATGGTTAGTGTTATAGTATATCACGACTAGGATAGAGTTAGTTGGGATTACGATCCCGTATACCGGCTTGGCCTTCAAGTCATGTAATCTCTATATATACCGACCAAGAGGCTCAATGCAAATAATCCAATTCCACCTAATTCTATTCCTCCTATACATGGTATCACGAGTTTAGGTTTAAATTCTAGGCCACAAACCCTAAAGCTTCCACTTCTACGTGTGCCCCCGGGGAGAGTATCCATGAGGATCTTTGTCAGGGGCAGTGCTGCCCCAGCTCGTACCTAAGGCTCGCGTCGCCGATTGTGTTGATCGGCTGCCCTAAAGAGTCTTTTCCTGATCCGTTGATCGGGGTTTTCTCTCTCGCTGGTCGTTGATCGACGTTTCTTTTGTTTTTTAAGATCTAAGATCGGTTTGCGTTGTTCGGTGCTGTCATCTTCACCATCCCTGACTGTGATGTAGTGCAGCACGCGGCGCTCCAGGGGACTCCCGCATGCGCATGCGCCGCTTGCACACTCTCTGTTCATATGTTGCCCTACGGCCTACGCCGACTGTGGCCATCACCTACGATCGGGGCTCCAACAACATCACCACTCCTCTGCTTGAGATTGCCACGCATTACAATCCCGTGTACCGGCTTGACCTCCAAGTCATGCAATCTCTATATATACCACCCAATAGGCTCAATGCAAATAATCCAATTCCACACAATTCTATTCCTCCTGCAGTTAGTCCTACCAAGCCCACTTTAGCTGAAGTCATGTGCGAGAGGGGTTATAAAATAAGCCAGCAATGGTGTGAAGAGACAAACGGCTTTGCTCTTGCATGCATGCCTCAAGCATAGGTAAACGGGAATACCGGTGGGAACTTCATGGTGCAAAACAGGAACCCAAGAATGGTTCCGAAAAGGGTCCTCCCGATTTTGATACTGCTTTCCCCAGCTGCTTACCGGTTTAGAACCATTTTCAGGTTTTCCTGAAGTAACAGGAAGTGGCTGGGAAAAAAATGGTAACAGTGTCGGTGGGGACTGGAATTTTTGTCCTGTTTTGACCCCTATGTGTCTGTTGAAATTAATAGGTACCGCCATTTAATTGTTTGATTAGATGGAATAGGCAGCCAGACTGTCACGCATATACAAGCTGGAGTGGTATACTGTTCTGGACCACCAATTCAACCACATGAAAAGCGAATAATCTTCTAGTTTCCATGTAATCAGCCATATAACCCATTTAATAATGTAAATCAGCCCAAGACACCATGTTAGCCCACATACATAGCTAGTCCACGACAGCATTTACCGTGTGTTTGGTTTGAGTAACCACCCCATCCTAGATGGGTGGTGCATCATGAGTTCATCCCATGATTTTGTTGGAATGAATCCCCTCATGCCTATACTAATTACTCCTAGTTTGTGAGAGATAAGGTGGTGGTGGATCAACCCATTGTATCCCACAAACCAAACAAAAAGTAATGAGAAGATGATGGATCACCCTTCCTCAAACCAAACACACCCTGTCTTTTACAGAGTTGCAGACTTGCAGTGTTGTCAAAAAATTTGGTCAGCCGCTGATGGCGTTAGTGCCCTATTTGATAGAGAACTATTATTGCCCATTTATTGCTTGCTTCTTTCTAGTTCACTAAATTAATAGTGCAGTATAAGTTATCTAATTGATATTGTACCTATATATTTAATTTCCATAGTAATAGGTATTCAGATATTTTTTGAGATAAGTACTATCATCAAATATATGCATACATTAGCATCAAACTAGTGTATAATCCCAATTAATCATCCCTGTACTGACTAATTGCTTGTCGGTAGCCTCTCTGTCTGCGAACCGCATTTGGATTCCATAACTCTGGTATGTCCTGGTATGGTTTTGGTTCGGATTGATCATAAATGTTAACATAGCTGTTTTGGTGGCAAAATGATCCCATTCTGAAGTAATTGATAAATTAATGGTTCCAACACCCCCTGTTGCCGTGCGGGCGTGTGCAATATTTCATCCATCAGCGACCCTAATATGAGTTGAAAAACTTTAATGGTTGTCATTGTTCTTCTTTCAGATAGAACAGATATTCAAAAGGCTGACGTAACTCAGCCTGATGAGCAAGGACAACCAGCAAGAAATCCACTTGCAGGTTTCCTAAATGCAATTGCAGTTATTACTTCTGGTGTTTTCGCTGGACTTCTTGGTACTTCTCAACAGGAAAAGAAGGCCTTGCAGTCGACCATCTCATCTGTATGCATCTATAATCACTCTATGAAATTATTATACTTATATCACTCACTGCTTCAGAATTTGCACATTAAATTTCATATGCACGGTGTTTAAAAAATTGCTCTAAAGAAATAACCAGGTGTTCCAATCTAGTACTGATTTTCCAACCTAAATCTTGTATGCATGTAAAAAAACGTACACTACCAGATTACCTTACGACGTCATGAGCTACAACCTAGTAATTCTTCTTTGATCACAAGGACAGCTGTTCAGTCACTTTGCCATATATTTAGGGCATATGAGAATTGTGATGTTAATTTGTCAGACATGCCATCAGATTCGTAGTTGGCCAACTTTCCTGAATTCTTTTCCCCGAATCCTGTCTTAAAAAAAACTAGACCAACCTAGGAGGAACTAGGTGGAATTTGATTAAGAATAGGCACTGAGGAGTGAGGACTTGAAACCTGGGTGGTCTAGTTATACATCCACACCCTCGACGAGAATCTTGTCTTTTGATTATTGCATATTTACTGTTATGTTTTTTTACTTGAACATGTAGAGAGCCATTTACTGTTTTTGTTACAAGTATCTATTACTCCGTACCTAATTTATCTTGGCATAAGTTTTGGATTTTACTTAGCACCTGTGATACTGATATCTTCATAGGCTTTATCGTGTAGACTCTTCTGAAGTGTTTTGCTCCAAGTATTGTGTTGATTGAGATGATGAAACAAGCAACTCATGTAACATGGTAATATGAGCAAGAAGTTTATAGGATATAAGTCATCATGAACCTTAGGATGCAGCATCAGTTGTCTCAACTCTCTATGGTCAATATAGTACTGGAAAAGTTATTGTGCACTGTTGTGGAATACTAGAAGGAACTTCACTCTGTTGAGATTATTTGTCAAAAGTTATCCTAGAATTTTATACATCTATAAATTAAATTCATGGATAGGATTCCCATTTGATTAATCTATTTTTCTGTTACCCAGATGGAGACCAAATTGGTTGAAAACGAGGCAGCAATGTCGATGCTTAGGGAAAACTCTGAGAAAGAAGCTAGAAAGTTTCAGGAGGAGGAAGCCTTGCTGCAAGATCAGTTGGCTTCATCTAGAAGAACCGTAGCATCTTTAACCGAGGAAGTTCAAAGGGAGAAGGAGCTAGTAGAGCAGCTTAACCTTGAGATAGATCAACTTAAGAACAGTATTGCAGAAGCAGAGGAAGACAAACATTTGTCTGAAGGCAAATTGAAGGAAAATATTGAAGTGCTTGATATTTTGCATGGCAAGGTAAATCTGCTTAGCCATGAGGTAAATGGCAAGGAGGAACACATCAGGGAGCTAAGCTCATCACTTTCTGCCAAGGAAAAGGACTACGAGAACCTGAATGTGATCTACAATCAAGCCAAAGAGAACCTAGAGCAGGCAAATTCCCAAATAAAGCAACTGGAGAAAGATGTTCATACAGCTAAAGATGATCTTAAATCAAAGGCGTCACTTATTAACTCACTGAATGAGAAAGTTCAAATATTATACACTGAAAAGGGTGAAGTGGAAGAAAAAGTCAGTGCTTTATTGAGTCAGTATACATACCTGAAAACCGCTTCTGAAGAGAGGGCCTCTCATGATTCTGAACTATTATTTCAGAAAGATGATAAGCTCAATCAGCTTGAAGAAAAACTCTCTGCTGCATTGAGTGACTCTAGCAAAGACAGAACTCGAATAGCCGAGTTGAACAATGAATTGGGCACCACCAGAACAATACTAGATAATGAAGTTGTTGCCAGGAAAAGTTTGTCAGACCTTGTTCAGTCCACTGAAGAGGCACTGAGAGATTCCAGAAATGAGGTGTTTAAACTCTCTGAAGAGCTTGATGAAGTAAAGAGATCAAATCAGGACTTGATGACTCGGATTTCAAAATTAACAGATGAGGCCAGTGAAGTGAGGCAAGCTCTGGCTAACAAAATAGAGCAGGCAGAGTCAGTTTCTGCAAGTCTTTCAGATGAGCTGGCATCAGTGAGGGAGGTACTTAAAAAGTCACAAGGAGAACTCGAGGTCACCTCGAAGCAGTTACTTTCGGTTTCAGAATCACATAGTGACCTTAAGAAAGAATTGCTGGATGCATATAAGAAGTTAGAGTCCACGCAAAACGAGCTAGTTAAAGAGCGTAAAATCAATGCTACTCTAAACAGGGAGCTTGAGGCTTTTGTGAAACAATCAGTGATAGAGTCTAAAGCAAGAAGAGGTCTTCAAGTAGACTTGGATGAGGCCACTAGATCACTAAGTGAGGTGACTAAGAGTACACTATCTCTGTCTAAGCAGCTGGAAACAACTAATTCCAAGATTTCTGCTATTAAAGAGGAGAAAGAGATGCTATCAAAGTCCCTTGACGAACAAAAGAAAAGTACAGTTGAAGCTCAGGAAAACATGGAAGATGCTCAGAATACCATAAAAAGGCTTGGGGCTGAGAGGGAGAATTTTGAAGTAAGGTCTAAGAAACTTGAAGAAGAATTGGCCACAGCCAAAGGTGAGATATTGCGTTTGAGGAGGCAGATTAGTACAGGTGGGTCTCCAAACACCCAAGTTCTTTCGGAAACAGGTGCAACACCAATTAACAATCAGCCACTGAAAGAGCAACCCAAGAATGATCATCGTGTTCAAAATATCAACAGTGCTGATGCTGTAGCTCCTCGTTCCCCTAAACGGGTTTATAGGGGGAAACGCAGGCCAGCGGCATGAGGATTATCTGAATGCTAAAAGCAAGAGCTGTCATTCTTTCATTCCTCTATTTAGTCACCTTACTATAACAGCTTCTGAACTCCCATCCTTCAAAAGGTAGACCTCCCTACAGTATCATCTTAGGTGGTGCTGGCTCTTCCGTCGCATCCCTACTGAAACAGAGAACCTTGATGTAGTCACATATGGTTAGATTTGATGGAATTTAGAATGTTTGTTACTCTGTGTACAGACCTGTCGTTTATCTCTAGTAAAATCAAATTGGTAGTTCGTCTTAAATGGTTTGTTTATTCTCATACTTAGACAAATGGTACCATATCTTTGTTTATTCAGCATTGCATAGCAGTGATTTTTTCTTCTTTTCATCATACACCATGTTTAATTGTATTAAAACTGCATTCTCCCGACCTCAGTAAACTCGTTCAGTGTGATTAGCGAGATGCTGGGACAAGCCTGTTTAGTTCTTCAACTACTTATACTGTGATAAAAGGTATGCAGAAGTCATGCTGGGCCTCAAGCTCGGCGCATAAATAATGCTTGATGATTGACTGGTGCTTATTCACTTATTTGGTTTAGTTCTTCACGTGGAGAGCATTTGGTATGCACAAGAGACTACTCTCGTCAAGACAGAAGGCACAAGTGCCCCGCATTGGATGGGTTTTAAGTCGGGGATCTTAAAGAAATTGAATTGGTTGAGATGGGACTTAAAATGAGCTTAGAAAACGCACCGGAACATGCACTAGACAATTGAAACATGGGGTCTTGTTTCTTTCTTTAATGCGCATGAGTCAGACTCTTGCATTTATGAATCGATTCTTCTCGGCCATTAACGGCCTGTTCGTTTGGGCTTGTTTGGCTGATAAGCCATGGCTGAAAGTACTATTGGCTGATTTGGTGTGAGAGAAAAGTACTATTCGTTGGCTGAAAAAGTATGACTTATAAACCAAACAATCCCAAACAAACAGGGCGTAGATGCACCGATTCATCAAGTTGCCACCTAGAACCATGCATTGGCCACTATCGATGCTCTAAGGGACAGGACACAACACAACCAGACCATAACTAGTCCACCTCTAACCGTCCTCGAGGATCAGGGACCAGCGACCTGAGCATCTTTAATAGCGTTTCTAAAATCTAGTCTCTAAATCATCATTTAGAGAGTGATTTGAGTAAAAATTATTTTCTATATCTTTATACTTTCTAATAGTCTTTCTATATCTTGTGCGTAATCTAGAGAGTTATCCTCACTCTCCATGTTTGGCTAGCGAGAAATTCAAAATAGAAGATATATATATTACTGTTGGAGGGTGTTTTTTTTTACCAAATCTCTATTCCTGTAAATTAGAAAAGATATAGAGTCTTTTGGAGATGCTCTAAAACTAAAGCAACTCCAAAAAATTCTTTATATCCTTCTTAACTTATAGGAATAGAGAATGTAGTGAAAAAAAATATCCTCCACCAACGGATCTCTAAATATAGATATCATATTCTGAATTTCATGCTAGTTAAAGATGGAGAGCCGAGAGTAGCTCTCTAGAGTGAGCACAAGATATAGAAAAGTTGTTTGAGGACACAAAGATATAGAAAACGATTTTTTACTCAAATGACTCTTTAAATAATGATTTTGAGAGTAAAATTTAGAAAAACTCTTGAAGATGTCGAGCTCACGGAGGGCAGAGACGCCAGCAAAACACCACAAGCTGCTTTCATTAGTGACCGTGAGAAGGAGAACATGAATGTTTGGCCTGGCATCTTCAAAGACAAGCGTTCCATGTATCTAAATCACCCCGACGACTAGAATGATTAGAGACTTAAGACCTTTGCACATCTCCTTAGAGTGTCTCTAATGGTTATCCTATATAGGCACCCCCTAAAATGGGTCTCGAATGGTACTTATCAGCCTCCAACAGAGCATCCATATGTGAGACATATTTTGGTTACAGCAAAGGCACAACCCAAATATGAGTATCCTTTCTCCTGGAGACTCATTTGCAGAAAGGATTCTCTTTTGGGTTCTGTTGTTGGAGAAGACCAAAAATAGGTACGATACCCTTTACCTGTAGTGCTATCTAAACGTGAAATGGGTCTTGTATTTTAGGTAATGTCGTTGGAGAGAAAACCTCCTATATCACCGAGAAAATCTGGCTGTAGAGATATAAGGCGCCATTGCATACAAGTTAAGCTTTTGAAAAATCAATGTCCATGCCTGCCGGGGAAACATGCAAGAGATGAGGATAGCTTCCTTGAAGTGGTCATACGGTCGACGGATGCAAGAGAGACAAGATCTTCCTTGCCCGACGGTGCAGGGTTCGGAAGGATACCAAGACTATGTTAGGTTCACTAACTTAACTTACTCTCTGTCACGTCAGATGTTTAACACTAATTTAAAATATTAAACATAGATTAATTATAAAACTAATTACACAGATTGAGACTAATTTACGAGACGAATTTATTAAGTCTAATTAGTCCATGTTTTGATAATGTGATGCTACGTTAAATATGTGCATAGATTAATTAAGCTTAATAAATTTGTCTCGCTAATTAGTCTACTCCTGTACAATTAGTTTTATAATTAACTCATATTTAGTTTTCCTAGTTAGCATCCAAATGTCATATGTCACACGGACTTAACTTTAGCCCGGGATCAAACACCCCATGAGCTACGAACATGCCCATAAAAAAACAAACCAAGAAAAAAAAGACCTGACGTCGTGACGTTCGCAACATGCCCATATCTAGGGATGAAAACGGATCGGATACGAACGGATATCACTCATATTATATTTGTTTTCATATTTCTGTTCGGATTCGGATTCGGACACGGATAGCGTTCGGATACATATACGAATACGGATTGACTCGGTTACGGATACGAATAATGAGTATCGAATACGGTATGAATCGGATTCGAAGAAGGTCAGATACAAATATCTATTCGGATATTGAGTAAAAGCAGCATATATATATATATATCATACGTGCGCAAACCATTACACCACTCTATGAGTCCATAATCCATCTAGATTAAGCCGAAAGACTAAAGAGTAAAGCAACAAATAAGATAAAGATACAGATACATCATACATCAAACATCATACAAGCACCAATCTTCGCGGCATGAGTAGAAATAGCCAAGCTCATAGCTTCATGGGTCTCACGGAGTCATGGTCATGGATTCAAGATCTACAATCCTTATATAGGCCATTTTTTCATTTGAAAAAGTTTGAACAAAATGTAGTTCAAATTTCACAAGTGTGTGACATAGTTTTAGAAAGTCTATATGAGATTCAAGAATTTGTGACTAGTGTTTGATAAAACTTTCTCAAATAGGAAAATTAGCTATTTAACAATTGTAGATCTTGCTGAGATGATCAAACTTGGTATTCAGAGTTTTTTCATCTGAGGTCATTTAGTGTCTCATTTGAGCAAGTTTGACCAAGTCAAATTTGGTCAAATGAAAAAACAACACTTTGACTCTAGTATTATGAACTCTAAATGACTTCAAATTGAAAAGTTTTGAGTACAAAGTTTGTTCAACTCATCAAGATCTACAATTCTTGTTTTGGTCAACTTTCCATTTGAGATAGTTTGGACGGTTCAAATTTATGATTTTTAAATTTCGATGCTTACAAACTAGTTTTCGGAACCCTAGATTGTCTTAAATTAAAAAGTTTTGAATACCAAGTTTGTTCAGCTTATCAAGATCTACAATCCTTATATAGGCTATTTTTTCATTTGAGAAAGTTTGAACAAAATATAGTTCAAATTTCACAAGTGTGTGACATAGTTTCAGAAAGTCTATATGAGATTTAACAATTTGTGACTAGTGTTTGATAAAACTTTCTCAAATGGGAAAATAAGCTATGTAACAATTGTATATCTTGCTGAGATGATCAAACTTGGTATTCAGAGTTTTTTCATCTGAGGTCATTTAGTGTCTCATTTGAGCAAGTTTGACCAAGTCAAATTTGGTCAAATGAAAAAACAACATTTTGACTCTAGTATTATGAACTCTAAATGACTTCAAATTGAAAAGTTTTGAATACCAAGTTTGTTCAACTCATCAAGATCTACAATTCTTGTTTTGGTCAACTTTCCATTTGAGATAGTTTGGACGGTTCAAATTTGTGATTTTTAAATTTCGATGCTTACAAACTAGTTTTCGGAACCCTAGATTGTCTCAAATTGAAAAGTTTTGAATACCAAGTTTGTTCATCTCATCAAGATCTACAATCCTTATATAGGCTATTTTTTCATTTGAGAAAGTTTGAACAAAATGTAGTTCAAATTTCACAAGTGTGTGACATAGTTTCAGAAAGTCTGAGATTTAAGAATTTGTGACTAGTGTTTGATAAAACTTTCTCAAATGGGAAAATGAGCTATGTAACAATTGTATATCTTGCTGAGATGATCAAACTTGGTATTCAGAGTTTTTTCATCTGAGGTCATTTAGTGTCTCATTTGAGCAAGTTTGACCAAGTCAAATTTGGTCAAATGAAAAAACAATACTTTGACTCTAGTATTATGAACTCTAAATGACTTCAAATTGAAAAGTTTTTTGAATACCAAGTTTGTTCAACTCATCAAGATCTACAATTCTTGTTTTGGTCAACTTTCCATTTGAGATAGTTTGGACGGTTTAAATTTATGATTTTTAAATTTCGACGTTTACAAACTAGTTTTCGGAACCCTAGATTGTCTCAAATTGAAAAGTTTTGAATACCAAGTTTGTTCATCTCATCAAGATATACAATCCTTATATAGGCCATTTTTTCATTTGAGAAAGTTTGAACAAAATATAGTTCAAATTTCACAAGTATGTGACATAGTTTCAGAAAGTCTATATGAGATTTAAGAATTTGTGACTAGTGTTTGATAAAAATTTCTCAAATGGGAAAATGAGCTATGTAACAATTGTAGATCTTGCTGAGATGATCAAACTTGGTATTCAGAGTTTTTTCATCTGAGGTCATTTAGTGTCTCATTTGAGCAAGTTTGAC